GAAAATCTTGACTCAGAACTCCTGATCTCCGTAAGAGCACCATAAACACTACACAAATGGATGGTGGATATAAGGGAAGAGAAAGCAGAAAAAATTAGGAATGTGTAGAGATGCAGAAGAAAAAATGAGTCTGCAAGAGAGGAACCTAACTTTAAAACCTTATGAAAGGAGATTTCCCTTGGAAGAAATTACTTCAGTCCTGGTCCCTGCTCCAGATTTTGCTTGTAGATACGGCAGTAAGGAGTTATTGATGAGGACACATGGGTAGGATTGGGATCACGTCAGCAGGAAGGATGCTGTTCTTGAGCTTGCTGATAAGAACATCATCAAGGAGATGTAAGTTTGAACCCCTTCAGGTTGAGGAGGACCTGGAACCTCAGTGTTCCCACCTCAGGCAACTGTAGAGCTGATGAAGAAGAGGAAGCTTCCTCCTCCACTTCCGAAGAGATCTGTTATAAATGCATGAAGTAGAGTGTTTCTGGAGAAGGCTATCAGCACAAAGGGGCAGCTTTTTGCTCCATGTGTAGGAACTCACGGAGCTGTCTGCAGTGGGGACCAATATTCCTATACAGCGTCAGGGTGCAGAGTGGGTCCTCCCCACTTCTAGGAGCTTGGTCACCTGAGTTAAGTAGTTCAGCTGGCTGAGTCCAGGGCCAGCTCTGTCACTAATAAGAGCTGCTGTCAACAAAGTTGGGGGTGAGGGCCTGCCTCTCCATTCTCTGGGACTTGCTGTGTGATTCCTGGATGCATCATTGTGATCATTGTATCTGGATCTTGAGTACTGTGTTTGGTTTTGGGGCCCTCACCACAAGAAGGACATTGAGGTGCTGGAGCATGTCCATAGAAGGGCAATGAAACCAGTGAGGGGTCTGGAGCACAAGTCTTGTGAGGAGCGGCTCAGGGAAATGGGGTTGTTTAACCTGGAGAAAAGGAGGCTCAGGGGACACCTTATAGCTCTCTACAACTATCTGAAAGGAGGTTGCAGAGAGGTGGGAGTCGACCTGTTCTGTCAAGTAACAGGTGATAGAACAAGAGGAGATGGCTTCAAGTTGCACCAAGGGAAGTTTAGATTGAATATTAGGAAGAATTTCTTCACTGAAAGGGTCATCAGGCATTGGAACGCATTACCCAGGGCAGTGGTGGAGTCCCTCTCCCTGTCGATATTTAAGGGTCATATAGGTATAGTGTTTAGGGACATGGTTTAGTGGTGGGCTTGTCAGTGTTAGGTTAATGGTTGGACTAGATGAACTTATAGATCTTTTCCAATCTAGGAGATTCTGTGATTCTGTGATCTGGTCTTGCCATCACTCTTGGCTTCTATGTCACCTTCCCAGGCCAGGGTGCCAGCCAAAATGTCATAAGAGGGAGGTCAGGCCCTCACTTCCATGTTATAAATTTTTTGAGGTCTTAGAAGTGGCAGCTGTCTTGATTCCTTACAGAACTTGCCTTTCTGACTTTGGCACCTGGAAGGACTGAAAACTTTGGGGTTTATGTATTGCAAATTGCAACCCATAAAATATGTGGTTTGAAACTGGTCATCTGTCTTCAGAAAAACTTGTGTATCGCAATACTGAATAGTGTTCACAGTGCCTAGCATTTGGGTACTTTGACACACAAAATGGCATTTACAAACCTAGAGTGCAGCTATGACAGAATGTAAGAGTTACATTTAAGAGTAAACCCCAGAAAAAGAAAACTATTTAGGCATCACAGGAAACTATGGATTGCAATTCCTGAAAACATAATAAAATGGGTGTTTTCCTAAGTAACAGGAAAAGCTTCTGGTGAAAATGTTGATATCGGCTGCTTTTCAGTTTTCAGTGGCTTGATATCACCTTATGCAGTGAAGAGGGAGCATGGGTGCAGAATTCGGGAACTGTGATTTCCGTAGACAGAAAGGTATTTAGGAAATAAGAGCTAAGGTCCCTAGCTCTTAGAAACAGATTGGTATGAATAAGGTCATTCAGGTAATTTTTCCATTGGCTTAATGCATTGATGTTGCTGGGAGATGAAATTCCAAACGAGATGCAGAACATTGAACCAGCAATAAGCCACACTGTGGACTCTTGCTTTTCCACTTACTAAATTAATTTAGCAACCTGAAACAAGACAGAGAGCGTGGCAAGTGTAGTAATAAAAGGTATAAACGTAATATGGCCCATTTAAAAGTTCATGCTTGTTAAAATTTGGCTGCTTAATGACAGCAGAAAATAATTTACATTTCAAGGTGTGTTTTCTTTTTGGTACCTGAGCTAGCATGTTCAGTAATAGCATGGATATACTTTATGCCTATACCTTCAGGTACCTTCTGGCATAATGCCTTCAGGTAATACTAGATGTAATTATATTAGATTAGTTAATATTAGATGTGGTTTATTTAATTGCAACCGCAAGATTTCACTAAAGCTTGCAAATATTTTCATGTTGGCCATAGGAACCCCTTAAGTTTATTTTTTCGTGAGTCTTCATGTGTTCAGAATTTACAGGCAAAGTAGTAGAAGTGGGGGCTGTCAGATAAAGCTGGTAAGAGCCAGATTCAAAACAAACAACAGCTCATGTAACAGGCTGTGGACTGTTGAAAAATCCTTGCTGTTGGATATTGTAGATGCAAAAAACGTGATCTCAGTGGGAGGATTATATGGAAAAAAAATGGGATTTATTAACTAAAAAAACCCCACATCAGACTTACTTAGAAAATATTTTGGGCTGAGTCTCAATAGAGGCTGAGAGAATACTTTTCTGGGGGAAGGTACTTGCCCTGTTCTTACTCTTCCCTAGTCATCTTCTTACAGCTACTGTTAGATAGACTACTGCTGAAGAGACAACCATAGTCTAAAAAGCCATTTTCATGTGTTTCTAAAGGTTTTCACAGAAAATGTACACATGCAAAAATAAGTTACAATTAGTCTTTAACCAGCCAAGGAAAAAAAGCAATGCTACAAAGCTCATCTGAGCAATACCAGTAACTGAAAGGGCCAAAAGCAGTATAGTAGCTCTTTATAAACTAGTCTGAGGTTTTCATGAAGATAAGCTCATTAAAAGCAAATGGCTTTTCAGACCAGTTATTTGTTAGAAAAATATGATATGATCATCAACTACTTCCTGATTAATGAGGAGCTTCTAGGTAATAGATTGACACCTTACGTCCTCTGATATTAGCTCTATATACACTGAGTCCAGTTATGCCAGTCTGTTTCTAATTTGGTAACAAACAAACTGGTATCCATTTTCCCTTTCTTCTGTTTCTCTATAATCAGAATTTGCATATACAGTTATGTAGGGACTTCTACTATTCTTTTCTTTCAGTGAGGTTGCCTTTGTGGCTGCTAACACTTTTCCTCCTTTGCTTTGTAATCCAAGCCCTTACGCTACCCAGGAATGTTAAAAGTCCAGTGTCACCTTGGGCTTTTCTTCAACGCAGCAAGTAGCTGGGTGTCTCCTCCAGGGTTTGTGCCCAAAGCTGGGCATTTTCAGTGACCCGAGAGTTGTTCTGGGCAGGGCTGAAGTCATATGGTAGATAAGGCAATAGCTGGTTAATTTGGTGACTCTGTGATTTAGTCAAGCTGAGTCAAAACCTGTGATGCTGACAGCTGGCTGTCAGTTGTAACCTGAGTTGATTTCTTTCTACTGGTAGCAAAAAGCACCATCTGATCGGTGGGACCTGTTTCCCCCGTCATCTTCTGATGTCATCTTACAGATAGGGACTCTGCTATTACTAGGGCCTTTGTCACTTCTGGATAGAATCATAGAATGGTTTAGGTTGGATGGGACTTTAAAGATCATCTAGTTCCAACCCCCTGCCATGGGCAGGGATGGCAGGGACACCACTGAGCTGCGATGGTACAGCTGATACAGTAAAGTAGAGCCACAGTGGGATTATATGTTTATAAATTCTCGATTCCAGACACAAGTTGCACAGTGGCACTCAGTGGTTCGCACTGGTTACCCCTTGGCAGCTCAGGATATCAGGTATCAGTTCTTAGGAGTTTGTCTTGCTTTGGGAGCCCCAGCACCCAGGGCAGTGCCATCTGGGGAGTCCAAAACTGCTTCTGAATGACCTGCTCTCTCCAGGCAGAGCCCAGACATGCCATGCAGAGGTCTTAGCTGGAGGAGAGGGTGCATCAGGAGAAACCTGTAGCTGTCTCAGTGCTGTGCTTCATTTGGGCCTTGTTACATGAGCAACTAAGCTCAGATGAGTGCCATGAGCTGCTGTTTTGGTTGGGGTCCCTTTGCACATTCATGCCATGGTGAGGACATGCACAGGCTGGCATGGTGCTTGCCAGTGAGGAGCTGATGCTGTTCCCTGCTCTAGCAGTTGAGATCTGTTCAACCACCTGTTTGGAGCAGCAGCGACAGAGAGTGAAGAACCTGCTTTTTGGTGTGTGCATGTCCTTCAGCTTTGAAATTTCCTTTAGTTCCTTCTGAGCATACCGCCAAACACTTCTGGGGAGGACCTAGAAAGCTGGGCTTTGGCAGGATTTGGGGGAATGGTCCAGGGAAGCAGAGTAGCGGTTCTTTTACAGACATTTAGTAAAAGCACAGCACTCATCCAGATCTAGAGACATTCCGTTAGATTTCACATATACATATAAATAATGCAAACATTAAGTTTTCTGAACAGTTGTTGGTGTGTGGGAAGAGATACCTAATAGTTCACATAATGCTTACACCTCATCTTCACTACTAATCAACAAATTGCTGCAGCTTAGGATAGACATATGAAATAGTAATATGTAAACTCTTAAAGGAAAAATACAACTATTATCTGGGCAAATAAGATACTAGTTTTAAACTTTGGAATTATTTTTGTATTGTGTTTTTCATTGATGGCAGGGATGGTGTTCTGTGTTGTTTAAACCATGTACATAACATGGAATCAATGCAGTCTTTCTCTGATAGTCAACTACTAGTTGCAGAGTTAATGAGTAGGATGTTTTCACCCTCTGAACAGCAGGATATCTGTGCTTGCTCTACTAGCATGTTCTTTTTCCTTTCTTCAGTCCCACTCTTGCCATGGCCCACAGGAATCTGACTGGGAGCTGTAATGTTAACTGTGGATGTAAGATTCATGAGTACGAACCTGTCTGTGGATCAGATGGAATAACGTATTTTAATCCTTGCCTAGCTGGCTGCATCAATGGTGGAAACCATAGCACAGGGGTAAGTGTTTCACCCACCCACCCACATACAACCTGTGAGTAGGCCCTCAGGACTGTTGCAGATTGACGACTACTGTTTCTAGCGCAAGCATTCCCCCTCTAAGCTCCAGAGAAGTTGCTCTGCAGCTAACTTGTGCATGAGTCTTTTGAAAGGCTGGTGATTGCGTGGTCCCACCTCCCTTCCCATCAGTTACGTATGAATTTTTACCAAGTGAATGCCCCAAACGAGTGAGTGCAGAGTGCCATGGGGTGGGGAGGGCTGGTGTTCCAGTACAGACTGAAGTCCCCGATGGCAGTGGCCTGCATGTCTGCTGTTCCGGCAGGGCTCGGAAAGGGGACCTTGAGTCGGTGGCATCTCATGCAGCTTTCTGCTAACATAGGTGGCTATGTCATCCTGTCTTTCTGCAAGCACATCAGTGTTACTCCGGAATTGTTTTGGGGTTTTCTTTGTCTCCCTCTCTGAAGGGAAGGAAGAACTTAACTCTTCAGGTAGTTGGAAGTGTTTTAAACTCCTGTTTAAATGTAGTTATGGCCTGTTTAAAGTCATTGATGTTTGTGTCAGTCTCGTCATTTTGCATAAGTAGCTGTTGCACCTGCACCATTGTATTGCGAGGTCTTTTGTTTGTGTGGCTAGGTAAAGACTGCCCGTGTATTCTGCTCTTGTAAAATAGTTTGGCCACTCTCATAACCTTTCTCTAAATGTCTCCCAGGCTAAATGAAATGATTGTCATTGAACTTAAGTAACTGAAGCTTAAAGCATGTTAATAATCCACTGACTTTCTTGGAAATACATTGCCTGTTATAGCCCACTTTTCCAGTTATGCTGGACTGGGGAAGGGCATCCTGCTGGTAAAATCACACCATGGAAATTTGGCGGTTTGCAGGACTGTGTACTAGAAAACAGTTTAAAAGTAGAATCTGACCTAAATATCAACAGAGCATGATGGTCGTGCTCATTTTGTACTAAAAGGGAACTCTTAAATTCTTCTGTTACAGAACTGTCCTTTAAAAAAAGATAATTAAGAAAGACAGGAAGCAATGTAAATACTGATTTTCTCAGGACTTTATTGTGCTTTCCAGAAGGTTTATTTATAACGGATCAGTCTCCTCATTTGCAGCCCTAAGGCAGCCTGTGAAGCAGGAGGATGTTAGGTCCAGCACTGTGCTTTCTCAGACTGACTGGGTAATGGTCTGAAAATGCAGGTTCATACATAGGTGGCACTGAGAACAGATTAGTTTCCTTTATAGTTGGGTTTTTTTATTATTTTTAGAGTATCTTGCTGCTTTTTAATAGAAAATTGCTTTGGCCCAATTGGAAAAGCCTGTGATGTGAGCCTGTGGTTAACTTTCATAGTTTATATAAATCTTATTTGTGCTTTTCTGCATTGAGACATAGGTTTTATCTTTGCTACATTTCACCTGATATCAAAGTGGCATTGTTAATTCATTTAGTAGGGAGGTACTTTGCGAGTATGTGCTCTTCACTGCAGATTTTGAAACATACTGTCTCCTCTTACGATTTAAAAGAAGATCCTTCATGGCCAGAAGTTTTAACTCAGTAGCTAATGGTGAACAGAACAGGGATGACATTGGTAGGAAAATGCATTTCTTCATTAAATAATGCTTTATGTAGTGGACTTTTAAAAACAACAAATACAAGCTTGTCCCACAGTATAACACAAAATGTTGCTAACCTATAACATTCAGATTTAAGTTTATAACATAGAGCATTTTCAAAAATAACCATTTAAAAAATGGAAGTAGGAGAAAAGGTTGCCAGTGTACAGTTCATACCTGGTTTATATATATGTATTCCTGTACTGTAGCATTTCTGTTGTGTCATGTCTGTCTCATTTAATACACAGACTTGGTTTCTCTGGTGATGAACCAAGATTGTGTAGCAAAGAGGACTGTTTTCTCTAGGATGCCAATTTGGCATTTGCATTTGGAAGCAATAAGGAGATTAAGGTGAGGGACTGTAGGAAGAGAGCAGATACTCATGTGATGTTAGAGAGTAGAGTACTGCCTTGGGAAACTGGATTCTGTCATTGCCTTTCTTCCTAAGCAATGTTGGGCAAGTCACTTAAAAAAATCTTCTCCCAGTTGGTCATTAATCTTGTATTCTTTATAGTCTGGATGATGGACATAAGCAATGACCAGAAGTGCTAGAAGCACTTATAGAAGCACTGAGTGCCTAAATCTGAAGGCATGAAAAAGTTACATTTAGAATATATTAAATTGTATATAATGCGAAAAAAAGCTCCCGATTGTCTCAAATTAGTCACCCACATTTGTGAAACTTTTAATCTGTTTCAGTTTCTTAGCTACAAAATAGAGATAACAACATCAGTGCCTCATAGCTGTTTTGAAGATAAATTACTCCTTTTTGAAAGTGTTAAGCTATAATGGTGAGTGTGATAGAAAAATCCATATGAAATATGAGTCATTCTGTCTTTGTAGTGGAATATGTTTAGTGTGAGGAAAAAAATACCTGGAGCCACATTTTGAAAACGGGTGGTAAAATAATGGATAAATTGATACATTATTAAGATGTTCAGCTAAATCCCATGAAAAAAATAAAAGTGTCATAACATGAACACATACAGAGATATACATTAAAGTTCACAAACCACCCTAATTTGGGTATTTCCTGATGTCCAAGTGCTTCAATTTGCAACCTTAAGACCGTTTTGTAATGTATTTTCTGTGCATGTATGGTCCTAGGTTTTATGAATGCAAACATCAAACCCAAAAACTCTTTCCTGTAACATCACATGATCCCCGACCTGTTTCCCCTGTAACACTGGAGTATTCTGATCTGCTGCACACCCCTTCACCTTTAGAGCAGTTGAAAACAATAAATGTGACGGGAGGCTATTTCTGATCTAGATCTGCCTCATCTTGCTGAAATCACGGTCCCTTTGCCTATGATATGCTACTTCATTATTCAGTCTGTTCATGCTAATTTCAGCCTCTTTGTCCATTCAGGAATCCCACATGTCCTTCAGTGTCACTGTTTAAGTCTCTGCTTTCTCCCTCTTCTCTGGTTTGCTGCATCTCATCCACATCTACGTCCAACTGGAAAGTCCTAGGCTCCAAGTGTGAAGTGCAGCTTGTTGCTCTTTAGTCAAATCTGGGGAGACTTTCATTGAGATGGCAGAAGACAGCTCCTGAAGATGGATACTGACAACCGGCCAAATTCCAGAATATGGTGTTGTCAGTGCTGCTTAGAGAGTGTTTTCTCACAGTTTTTGTAATACAGTAGAAACAGTCTTTTTCTCCAGCCTCCTTGTCAGAAGTGATCGAATTGTTTCAGCAGAATTTTCCAAAAATATTCCAGATTTTTTTTCTAAAATCAGCCTAAACCACGGAATTTGTAAGCAATGGAAAGGCAGTCTCATCACGGGAAGTCCTGGCCAGCTTTAAAAATACTTGGAGTGGTAACCTTGCTTGTACTTGGGGTAACGATGCTAAAGATTGAGAAGTACTGTGGGACTTTTGTACCACATCTCTGCACAATGTCTTTCTCTCACTTTTTTTTTTTTTTTTTTCACGTGGAAATGTTCTTTTTCACTCTCCCCAGGTAAGAAATTACACAGAATGTGCCTGTGTCCAGAGTCGCCAGGTGATCACTCCACCGACGGTGGGCCAGCGCAGTCAGCTCCGGCTGGTGATTGTCAAAACCTACCTGAATGAGAATGGCTATGCTGTTTCTGGGAAGTGTGATCGAACCTGCAACACGCTTATCCCATTCCTGATATTTCTCTTCATTGTTACCCTTATAACAGCGTGCGCCCAGCCGTCAGCAATCATAGTGACACTCAGGTGAGAACTCAGTTACATGTTCTAAGTATTTTTGCTGTGCCCACGATCAGCAGTGCCTGTGTTAGAAGAGGCTGGGGCAACACTGCCAAACTCCTTCAAGCTTACGTATCCTTAAAAAGTTCATAGAATAGGGCTGACATGGATAGGGTGGAACTTGCTTGCATTTAGAATATGTAACAACATAATCTGTTTTAGGAAACATGAAGAGCCCAGCCATTTCCAGGTGCTATAAAGAGAGAACAAGTAAAAACATCATGTAAGAAACTCATTACTGCAGAAGAAATTTTCAACCTTCTTAGTGTTTGTAGGGAAAAAATGTCATTTATATGTCCATTTGAAAAAAGTCTTCAGGTTTTTGGATTGGCTTTTCCCATCTCTGCCATCTGGTCTGATAAACATTATCACTCCCTGTAGCATCTTTGTCCATTTAAAATACAGTTTCTGTAAGGGAACTTCAGTCTGATTTTTAAGGCAAAGTGGGCTGAAAAAACAGAATATGATCTACTGCTAATATAAGTTTTTATTTGTATAATATATGTTGCTGTTGTTAAAAGAGGAGGAGGAAGAGTTCAAGCAATATGAGATAATTATGTACTAGAATTTACAAAGCACACCTATAGGTAACAGTAGGAAAACGAAAGGTTTAAAGATGTAGATTCAGTTTGGAATCTGAAGCTCAAGAGCTCTCAGAGTTCAAGAAGTAAGTTTCTTTCAGACGGATATGAGCTGGAAGATAGAAAAAATGGAATGGAATGGAATGGAATGGAATGGAATGGAATGGAATGGAATAGACTAGACTAGACTAGACTAGACTAGAATAGTTCAGTTGGAAAGGACCTGAAAAGATCATCTAGTTCAACTGCCTGACCACTTATGGGCTGACCAAAAATTAAAGCCTGTTATTAAGGACATTGTTCAAACACTGATGGGCTTGAGGCATTGACCACCTCCCTAGGAAGCCTGTTCCAGTGTTTGAGATTCTCTTTAGAAGCAAGCCTAAAATGAGCCAGATGCAAATGGGCATTCAGACCCTGGGACCAGGTTAGAGCTGATCTGAAGTAAATGCCTACAAAACCTGAAACGTGTGTGGTGTAGGTAGCAGGTCCTCAGCACGAGCTGTTTAGCTGTATAAATCTGCTTCTCTTGAGCTTCATTAATTGCTAACGTAGAGACAGCTCTTGAAGTGGTTTTGTGTAAAATCACTCTCCAAGTTGAGCTTTTTAAAACCAGTCTCGGGCTTTTCTTTCTGTGAGAAAGGTCCTGCCAAACAAGCGGGATTTTCTCCCGGTGATGTTGTCTTTCTCTCTTCACTCTGATACTGTGAAACTACTGACGTTCTGCTGCTGCTCACAATTAGCCCTCTGTAAAAATAATCATGGCAAATCTTTGTAATAGGTCACGGAGCCTTAAAAAACACGAGGCAGATCAACTTGGCTTTGCTCTCCTTAGGCTCAGCCGTGAGCACACCTCTGAAACCCTCTGGCAGGCATCTGTGTCTCATCCCCAGCAAGGACGAGCGCTCTCTTGCTGTCATTCTCTCAGCTCAGGTGGCTGAGGTTTATGCAGGAGCCTGCTGCTGACACGTGGAGGACTGTGCCGTGTCATGTGGTGGAATTTGTCTTCCAGTTTGCTGTTCAAAAAAATCTACAAAATGGGGGCAAGGATCACTGTTAGGACTGTGAAGTCAAGCGCTTGGGAGTGGGCACATCAGACTCCCAGTTGCTCCTGCAGCTTTAGCTCAACTACTGTGATGTGCATAGCTCCATTATAATTCAGAGATTTCTGACCTTATTCCTTCTGTCTCCGGGTTTTCCAACTGTACAATAATAATAATAATAATAATAATAATAATAAAAAACCATTGTCATTATACTGCAATTATGCAAAGGTAAACTACAATCAATGAACATTAATATTGCAGTAAGACTTACAATACTGAGGTGCATAAGGGACATCTCTAGCAGGATTTTGTATGTTCAGTAAAAACCCAGGATGACCCACAAGCATGAACAGTGACACCCGCTGTCCCAAACCACGTATTGTACTCAGCACATCAGTCCAAGATTTGTGGCCCAAGTTGGTTCCCCGATTTCCCAATTTCTGAGTGAGTGCTTGACTTCAAAACCTTGATTTTACAGCTGCACCCCTTTGATTGCAGTCTTTTTCTGTGTTTTTATCTTGTATTTCAATGTCAGTAGAAGCTGCCTATCTTAATTTCAGACATTTAGGTTAAGTTTTAAAAATATTTTTTTAAATCAGAAGAAAAATTGTGGTTTACTAAAATTGTAATTACATTGTGGAATATCATTACTTTGCATTTAGTCTCTTGAAAGCTCGACATTTTTCCTTTGAAACCAATGGAAGCAATCTTGTATTACTTGTATTGAAAAGGAATAGTGTTTAAAGAGACTGTTTCATTGTTTCTTCTGATGTTTTTCCTAAAGTAGCTCCAAAGTGCCTATGCTACGCAGAGATCTGTTATATTCAGGAGCTGAGTCCACCTTTCAGCAACTGAATTTTCCATAAATTGTAATTTATCTGAAAAAGATATTTTCTTAAATAAAAGCAAGCTATGATGTGAAATAATAGGAAACTATCATAAGAAGCCATAAACATTTTGGGTGGATTCTCTAAATTTCCTTAATGGGCTTGGATCAAATTCTTCAGGCCTTACACAGGTAAAGAAGGCTTAAAAGGCATGATCGAGATTTTGATTAAACAGGGACAGGAGGGGTTGGCTATATTTTTTCCTAGCAGTAGGAGTTAACAGTATTAGAAGCTAAATGGAAGAAATTTAGACAAAGATTCTATATAGCTCAGAAAAAAAAACAGGAGGTAGAGCCAGAACATAACACACTGATTATCTGTTATGACTGTTTCTTCAGCGGAGTTTTCTTTTTGCCTGCTAGGTCTGTGGAAGATGGGGAGCGGCCCTTTGCACTAGGAATGCAGTTTGTTTTATTACGAACTCTTGGTAAGTCTTACAGTTACTCAGCATTTCCATAAAGGCTCACCATGTTCAGCTTAAATCTACCATAAAAATACTAAAATTCCATAAATCTGCAATTAATTGCCTGATTAATTGTATTAGGAAACTAAAGTTAATAGCTTCTGAAAACATTGTAGCTGAGAATGTATTTATTTTTCTATTTTTTTATTACTGACTTTCTAGAACAACATTTTTGTCCCAGAAAAACATATTTTTACAGTTTCAAATTTTATTTAAAAAAATAATAGTTACTAAATATTGTTTTATCAGGATTTTTTTTCCTTTTTAGAAACAGATTTTTATTGCTTTCAGCGATAACAATAGCTTTTTTTTTTTCATTTTTAATGTAAGAAGCAATTTTACTTAATATCTAATTTCAAATGTTTCAAAGGCAAAAGTGTACGTGTTAAAAGTCTTTATGGCACAAAGTAGTTTCTTTCAAGCTCTTGAACTTCTAAAAGCCTGCCTGTAAAGAACGCCCCAGGTGTTCAGCTACTATGAAACACGTGACTAGAGCAAGCAAGAGAGAACAAGAGGAGAAGCCCGTACAGCTGCATCTGGAAGATTTTTTTTGAGGAAGGATGTTTCTAACTTGCCTTAAAGGTGTCGTATCTCTGGAGGAATCAGGAGCATTCAATGGGCTGGCTGCATTTTTAGCAGCCGTAGAAGTCAAAGTCTGTTTCTGAGGAAGTTCTATTCAAAGGAAAATTTACAATTTTAGGGGTCTCGCTGCTTCCATCCATCTTCAGTAAGAGAAACATTTTGTGGTCTTTGGGTCTTTTTCTCCTTAATCTAAAGCAGCAACCCCCACCCTTTCCCAGCTCATGGGCAATGGATGTCCAGCAAGTAACACTCTAGAGATAGCGTTGTATTTTGTTCCTCTCCTGTATTTTATTTCCTGAGAGCAACATCAGATTTTCCTGTGGGGGACATGTAGTTCAAGAAGAGCTGTCTGGGGACGGCAGATTGAAGCAGTACCTGTTGTTGTAAGGTGCCGCTGCATTGTCTTCTTTGCTGGAATTCTTTCCCATTTGTGGTACATTTCTTGTTTGGGATAGGTAGTGTTGGTGGGTAGATCGGCTGACCAGTCTTCCATGTTTTACATTTTATGTGAGAACAGTGGTGTAGAAATCTCAAAAATTCTTGACCTACGCTGTTTGGCTAAGGCATATAGTTTCTTTAGAAGTTTTCTACTGTATGCTAACACATATTATTTCTGTTGCTATTTTTATTTCAGCTTACATTCCCACCCCAATTTATTTTGGGGCTGTTATTGACACCACGTGCATGCTTTGGCAACAGGATTGCGGCGTACAGGGCTCTTGTTGGGAGTACGATGTCACCTCCTTTCGCTTTGTCTACTTCGGGTTGGCAGCTGCTCTCAAGTTTGTGGGATTCTTTTTTATTTTCCTGGCCTGGTATTCCATTAAGTGTAAAGAAGAGCAACTGCAGAGACGGAGATGGGGGGCTTCACCGGTGAACACTGTGAGTGAGATGGTTGGCCAAGCTGGACCCCAACAAAACTATGCACGGACTAGATCCTGCCCTACCTTCAGTTCCCGAGGAGACATCAGTATGGCACAAGGAATGAACTGCGTAGCACAGACATACCCCGGCCCTTTTTCAGAAGCAATAAATTCCTCAAATGAAAATGCGTTGGAAGAAGTTACTGCTGAGATATAGACCCCTGGCTTGGTAATGTAATGCTTAGTTTTGTTGGTTGACTTAATTATGGCGCCTTGTAAAACACCTGTGCCTTCTATTTTTAATCTAAATGTAACACATGATAAAACCAACAAAGCTTAATGCAAACAACCATAGTCTGTTCCTGAGGGCTGGATACCTCAAACCAACCCAAGTTCTTATTTCTCCCCTCCCGACAATGGAGTTTTAAAAATTGTGTTTGTAATTATTTCAGATGTGTCCATTAAATGTCCATGCTCTGATCTAATAGCAATGTAAGGATGAGGTATTATGAACAGCAGAAGTCAGTGGAAGAGTGACAAAAACTCATATCGTTGATGTCTGGACGTCACAAAAATGCTTAAATGTATTGTCAACTTCATATCCGCAAATCATATTTTTAAGAGATGAGTAATTACTGTGAGTTCTGCTACAAAGCACAACTGAACTTGTTTAAACTATGCAACTTATTTGGATAATTGTATGTGCAGCAAATTAAGTTTGAAGTTTGCTTTAAAAGACATTACTGCAACTGAATTTGAAAGGGGCTATTTTCAGACATAAACATTAAATTAAAAAAGAACATAAGGTTTAAAGTACTGTTAATAACATGTTAAGCCATACAAAAGTTATACATCAGGTACTGTTTGCAAATGTTGAATCATAATATCTTTATCCTGTCTAAATGTGCATTAATTTTCATTTGATGGGATGTAGTCATTCTTCACAAAGTACACAGACTAGGAAAGTTTAATGCTTGGAGTAGAAAACTTCAGTATTAATTTATAATAACACTAAGATGTAGGAATCGTACACGCATACCAGAGCGGATATGTGCATATTTCTGTAATGTTATTTGAGTGGCTGTTACTAGCGCCAAATCCATACTTTTCCTGAAGAAGAAAAATAACCAATTATAGCTCAATAGGAAGAGCTTGGCTGCCCTTCAGAAACATGTGCCAGTCTAGTTCAGCTTCAGTGAAAAAAATCTCGAGGGAGAGCTAATGGCCTCGTTTCGTGTCTGAGCTGGGACCCAGCGGTCCCCTCGCAGCCAGCGATGGCGCGGAGCTCGGGCTGGCGCCACTCGCCGCCTGCTGCAGGAGTCGGCAGAGAGACCCTTCGAGTGGGCTGCAGGCAGCCTGCCTGGTACGAGCACTGTACAGCCACCGAGCCTGGGAGGAGGCTTTCCCCTCCGCTCCTGGCACCACCGGGGTGCTGTGCTCCACGCCACCAAGGACAGCTGGAGAGGGGATGCTGGCTCAGACCCTGGGTCCCTCTCATTTCTTCCCCGCTTCTGCCTCTCCCGCTGCCCGGTGCTGGGCAGACCGGTGGGACAGGTCTGGAGGTCATAGTTGCATGCTTTGTCCCACATGTGGCCGCCTTTCCTTTTCTCAGCTTCATTGAAAGCTTCTGTGAAGGCAAAGTGCAGGTCATCTCTCCTTTACCCTTCCAGGGGAAGAGCTAAGAATAGCAATTGTCTGCAAGCGTGGACCCACGGGACATGATGTGGCCTTTGCTTATTCCAAATTACTGTAGTGTGTTTTCTCCCCAGGAGATGCTGAGACTTGCTAATCAAACGTACTTGGTGTCTCATTTCTTACTCTGGAGGCTTTGTAGTGCCATGCTTATGTTGTACTAATGATGTCTCAAAGGGCAGAGAATGAATTTGGGTGGACACTAGGAAGTCAAAGTTGTTTTTTGCCCTGCAGGGAAAGTTTTAGAAGTTTAGGAAATTAAAAGCACTCTTTTAAGAGGGCTCGGTGATAGGCAGGTTTGGATTTTGCCATGTGGGGGGCTCGTGTGAAAATAAAAAGAAGAGAGCAGAACTCCTATAGATTTGGAAACAGGGTTATTCCTGGTTTCATTTTAAATTTATCAATGATTTAATTTATTAATGATCAAATATCATATGGAACCACGTTCTTGACATTAAAGACAGTAAAGACAGTTAAAGTTGTCCTGGGAAGAGTAGATTTCCCTCTCCTTCTCCTTTGCCAGCTGCCTTCTCTCATCTCCTGGTTCTCCTTGACCAGCATTTGGGGCTGCCCACCAGGCTGGTTCCCCTACTTGAAATGGTGGCTGTTTATTTCAGAATGTCTCAGTCCATTTTTGTGGCTTGTAACAATTTCCACTCTCGGTGGCAGCAAACTCAGATGCTTCTACTCCAAACTACAAGGTAGAGGTGTATCGTTTTAATCATGTCCTGCTGTTTTATACATATTAATAGCTTTTGGGATCAAGCCACTGGGCACAACACATCCTCATTCTTGTGCCACATGAAATGTTAGCTTCTACACTTCTCATAGTGTAGAAATACATTTCTTAGTCTCAAAGGTATTTGGTATATATTTTTTTGGCCATGGGAGATCAGAATAGATGGTAAAAGTGTCTCCTTTTGCTCCAGTCTCAAATGCTTCTTGCACCAAGAAATTCCTGCCATGGCAAAAGCCGAGGCAAAGTAGTAGGACAAAGTGTAACTGCAGCCCGTCACCCATCTATTTTAGTCACTTGCCCATTTTAATCAGCACGGGATGAGGTGAAGAGCGACAATCTTTCAAATACCTCAGGAACAGAGCATTTAGGGAATTGTAAAAGGCTGGAAATGAATCATCTATCCTGATCTATTCTGTTTCATGCCGTGTGCGCGCTTCTGTTCCACGTGAATAACAAGGAAGGGCAGATGAGGCTTGTAGGATTGTGAGGAGCTAACACTGATGGCAGAGAATGAGAGTGGTAGAAGTGACACATCTGCAACTGCTGCTGCTTCTGAGCTGATGTCACCAAAATTCAGAGCTTGTTGGAATGGAGACCACCTGCTTTTTAGGAAAGCCTGACACACTTGTAAAAACATTCATTTTTTGAAATGTTTGAGTAACTGGAATCTGGAGGGAAGGATGTTCACTTCAGGAATACTGAAAAGGCCTTGTTTACATGCTTTCAATAGCCTTTTAATTTTCCTTTCAAAATGATGTGCAAAACATAACATAACATAAAAAATCATTAGTATTTTTTGTTATAGATTATTTTGACAATATGAATATATTTCTACAAAATCACTTAATTGAATCAGCATCTCCTGAAAGAAAGAAAACCCAAACCCTGGCCAGTTTTTGATTGATTCCTGAAGGAGGCTTTATTGTGAGTAAGCTATAACAGTCTAAGCCAATAAAGACACGCAGGGGAAACACATTACCTTCCTGAAGAAGTCAGTTCCAGCATTGTCAACTTTGACTGAAATATGGAAT